TATACATCTACTTCTAATTTTCATTTCATTTTCCACTGTTAAAAGATAGTTTTTTCTACTTTCCTTCATTTTTTCTTCAAATTTATGACCAAGATATGGATTTGGATGAAGATAATTCTTTACATTAATTGTTAAAAAATTTTCTTTACATCCCGTTATTACAATTCTATGAACAAGTTCTTTAATAAGAATAGTGAGATCATTTAAAAGTTTTGCGGGATCGGCATTATTACTTTNAAACGATTTGTTGACAGACTGAGTTTCATCTAAGATAGGTTCCAGAAATATAAAATATAACTCATTACAAATATCTGCATACATATTATACAAAAGTTCTGCAGTATAACATTTCTCTGCAACTCTTTTTAATTGNAAATGAGTTTTAAGTTCTAGCCATTGTTGAAGAATTCTACGTACTGCATCTGCGATGGATAACCAACGAGTATTTGCAACTTGAAGAATTTTCAAAGGTTCTAAATTATCATTTAAAGCTTTAAATAGCACTTTATATTGTTCTTGACGTTCTGTTGATCTAAAATAAAAGAGTAACAAAAAGATGGAATAATTATATATAGAAAATAAATTAAAGATAGAAAATAGAAAAAAATCAGAAATGCATATACCTTGAAAACCAATTGTATGTTTCACTGACTAAAAACTCTAAATTTCTAGGAAGTGCATCTGCTACAGCATGTGAAACAGCTAATTGAATAGAATGGCACACACAACGATTCAATATTAAATGAGGTATTTCGTTCTTAAGTTTACGGAAAACGCCATTGTTAACGCCTAATAAAATATAACATAAATATACATAAAATTAAATAATAAAATATATTTTTAAATTATATAAATTTAATTTTATAAAGTATAAAAAAGATACCTATCATAACAGATGCATTATCTGTTCCAAGACCGTGCATTTTCTGAATAGAAAGATCATATTCTGTAAGAGTAATCTTGATTGCTTTTACAATAGATTGTGCATCACCTCCTTCTAATGATTCTAATTTCAGAAAAGTAGAGACAATATTTTTCTGTGCATTGGAAAAATATATGATGCAAATTCCCAGCTACTTTAAAACTGCTATATCAGTTGATTCATCTATTAAAAGACTGTAATAACTGTCTCCTATATCAAGTTGTACTTCAGATTTAAAATAAGGAGCAATGATGTTTTGTAAAATTGCAGTTGCTTTTGTTCTATGTAGTTTTATTTCTTTAAAATTTTTGTATATAATTGAACTAGTAGAAGTTGAACTAGATTTATTCTTATTATTAAGCATAGTTAGATGATCAATGCATCTTATTGCACAATGACACGTAACAAAAAGTATCATTCTGATCTCAGCAGCAGCTGTTTCAAAAGAACAGGTTATAGAAGCCTCATCATAATGTAATTTTAACTGTTTTTGATTTGAAAATGGTTCAGCATTTTTTATGTGTTTTAAAGTTTTTGTATGTTCTTTAAGAAGAGCATGATGTGATTTTAAAATACATTTACAGTATTTACAAAACACTGCACTTTTATCTCCTGAAACTTCTTGGATCCAGTCTTTCAATAATGGGTCTAATTC